GGGGGGGGGGGGGGGGGGGGGGGGGGGGGGGGGGGGGGGGGGGGGGGGGGGGGGGGGGGGGGGGGGCATCTCATTTGGCCAAACCGAACATCAGGTCCGAGCAGACGCAGATGACGACGTACCGATCGAAGGAAAACGTAGACGTTCCGGTGTCATGCGATAGCCGCCCTTTTCCAAAGAATACGTAGCCTAATCACACCTTGCGGGAAGCAAAAGGCATATGACATCGGTCTGCCATAGTAGCTGAACAAATGGTATGAATTGTTACCTGAACGCTGTGGCCTTGCAAGCAGCGAAGAGCGGGGTGTAGCCTCTCCTATCTCTTGCGTCTACTTCGGCGCCGCGTTGCAGGAGCTGCCGGATGCCGACTATGTTCCGGTGCGATGCCGCATCATGCAGAGGCACACTATAGAAGCAAGGAGTTCGTCGCAGGTGAAGCAAGTGGGTACCAATGACACAACGACAGAGCATCCAAATATCATCGCATGGGCGTACAGTTCAAAGTCGCAGTTCAAGTGGGAGTATCGCAACCGGCATTTTGCCTTGTCCCCTGTCCTTGCCATCCCGGCCGTGTTCCTATTTCCTGCACATCTCATATCCAACAGGACATTCGTACACTGGCGCTCCAAGATTTACATCCTGCAAATCTCATATCCAACTCACGCTCCGAGATCGTCTCGTCGGTTGAAGCTTGCTCCCTTGTCGAGCAGGTAGACAAGAACCTTCAGGAGTAGACAGTAGACAACAGGGGTATGGCAGATCGAGGCAGCTGAGTCGTACCTACTGTGGGAGAACCGCACGCGTTTTTTTGAACGTACGATTAGTTTTGCGCCTGCTTGCCCCAGAGCAAACGAGAGCTTGATAATTCTTCGCGGCATGACATCCGCATGGCGCCGTAGCAACTGCAATCCACGCGAGAGGGTGTGAGTCCCTAAAACTGTTCTACCGCCGTTCAGTGGATATGCCTACATCGTATTGCACAACATCCCAAAAGCGCATGTATTTGCAGTAATGACAATGCGACGGCTTCACCTCGTGACAGTGTCGATGGCCAGCGGCAACGTGAACAGGCGTTTTCCCTTGCCCGTCGACACCGGTTACATCCATGTCTCCGTTTTCGACCATGGCCTTGATCTCCTTGAGCTGCAAACCAACCAAAACACATTTGCCGCATCGGCCATTGTTCCAACTATTTCAGTCTCAACATATTGTTTTGGACTCGAGGTAGACTCTTCATCAGCGTTGGTGTGACCTCAACAAAAGTATCAAAGTGATGATGGTCAATTGCCGACGTTGTTTGTGTAAACATGCGACGACCCCGTGTGGCCAAAGCCTGGCTACATACTCGTCAAGTATGGGGCGATCTTGTTCCTTTTCCCCCAAGAGTTTGGGTTCCAGGGTGCAGCTTCGTGGTATGTGACACCGTTGCCCTGGCCTTACCACTATCGTCAGAGGAGCTATCCGGAGAGAGGGTAACAAAAGAGACTTCAACACGTCGCATGCGAGAAGAGCCGACATGTGGTTTGCTTCTGCAGTGTAGATGCAACTACTGTAGAGGGGCAACGGGGATTGCAGTTGTTAGGCGATGTATTCGAGGAAGAGCAGCACAGAACCGTCATGTGACCAGGCCGTGCGTGACAGTTCCTCATACGTTGGGCAAACATTAAGTCCAGCCAGCCACCTTCACAGAAATTTGGTGATGGTGTGCTTCAGTACGGATGACTAGAGGAGCTGTGTGTCTCATAGGTGATTAGGTAATATTCTACGTAGAAAGCTGTCGTACGTAGCTGAAATACGTGTACATGGTCAAATGTTTTGCCTTAACACCGATGTGATGGTGTTCCACACACAGAGCATGCCCAGACCTGACAGTTCTTGCTGGCCACCGCCTGCATCTGCATTGCAGACGGTGCATCGGGAAGCATAGCCCCCTCGGTGGTGCTGTTTACAGATGCTAGTACCAAGGCACAGCTCATCAGCCATGGATCCTACTACTGTAGTACTTGTGGCAGTGATGTACTCTACTGCGTATTATACCCATTTAGTCTACAGTGTAAAACACACCTTGGACGATAAGTCAAAAACTATCTAGATAAGGATAAGTTCCTATCGCCGTGTTGTCTTATCGGTCCAATTTGATAGGGTTTGATACACCCACGGGGTGCATATTGGTGCATCCTGACCGGCTGCGGCAGGAATTTCCAGCACCTGTTTACGGCCTCGAAGGAATGCGATAGGTTTCTGCCAAAGCCTATCGTAGCGCGCAATTTTTATCGATAACTTTTAAGGACAGCCTATTGGTTGAGCAACAGCCTGCGGTGTACGTGGTAGTCCGCCTATCGTTCAGCACAATTGTTATCGATATGCATTTGCCACTTCCCTTCTAATGAAAAGATAAGTATCGATTGCCGACTGCCCAATCCCTTCGCGTGACATGATGGCTATCGACAGATTGTTCACCGGCATATCGTACCGGTGAACAACCCATCGACAATCTCACATGTCAGTCACATACATGAACAATATCACCTACCACCTACCACGCATATGCAGCCGCGATTATCACATCGGATCCGGGCCAACTGGCCAACAGATTCAAAAAGATTCGCCGAGCGATGGGATAATGGGCAAATCTTACATAATTCAAAAAAAGTTTCGCCGACCGCGATGGGATAATCGGAAAATCAGCGAAGTGCGGTAATTTTTGCCGAACAATCACACGAAAAAAGTTTTGCCGGACAGGCGATGTCGCGTGGTCGGGTTAGTCCTGCATAAAAATTACAAA